TGGTGACAATATTAAGTACATTTGTGGGTGAAGAAAGTCTTGTCCCAGTTAGGAAAGTGATTGAAACTCCATGTGAGGAGAAAAACAATAACAAAACCCTAAGATCACACCTTCATCCAGTATACTTCCCTTAAGAAACTAGGGAAAGGGGTTCAAGCTATATTTCCCTGAATTTGAGATCAATCCAGCCATTAATTTAATCACATCAATTATGAGCACAAGATTCAAATCCTATTCCAGGTATACTCTCCCTTAAATGTTTGAAGTTTCCTCCCCTAAAAAAGACCAATGGAGCATTCAGCTGCATGGGTACTAAGTGAGACCAATGTCCCCTGGACAAGATTTTCGTGCATGAGTGTAACCTTTGATGATCCTTTGCACAGGAGAACATCAGGATATGCACCTACATTTGTTTGTATATCAAACAGAAAGGATCTATCTGGATACCATTACTTAATTGTCTAAATAATTCTAACAGCCTTGAAATGAAGTTGAAACGTTCTCTTTAGGAAGTGGGAAATATAAAATGAGAGGGCTAACACTACCATTTCCAGCAAGCAGACAGTACTAAACATTACTCTGGGATGGTTTCAGTAGAGTAAGGATGAAACAGAAATTAATAATCAAATTTGAACCCAATTGAAGATAAAGCCAAGTTCTCTAAGTTTCTCATTCCCATTGAAGCCACTAACAGCATTGCAAGGAAGCATGGGATGGATGACACACCTTGCCCCATCACTTGGTAAGCATATGGGTATGTGCTCAGTGGATGAGTATATGAAAGGGCCAAAGAGGTTACAGCATGATAGATACTCCTTCAAGATTGTCATTAGCCAATTCCATTCCTCCCTGATAATATTTACTTCTCATCTCATATTAATTACTTATTGGATGAACTTTTAATGGGTTTACATATTTAATATTTCATGCTAATTTTGGCAGTTGCTCCCAATCGATTTTACAATTCCTACCCCTTTTACTCAAGAGGTACTGAATGAGATGAATCACCATGTCATGATGCAAGCATTCAGATTATACATGAACATAAAACAAATGGATGATTGCAGTTCCACTCAGTAGACCAGGCATAGCACAGATTGGATTTCTGCCAGAGAAATTGTCCTCTGAAGCTATAGTTACCAGAGAGCAAGAACCCTACCTCCATTACTGTGACAAAAGCAGAATTGGCCAAGCAAATACTAAATCTGACAAAAACAAAAGTGAACTTAACTGCAGAAATGAAACAAAGATTAATTTTGATCATATATTCACTTTTACCTGCTTGAAAATATTAACCATTGAATACAAGAAACAGTATCCATCATGCTGCAGGTATTTTGAATTGAGCTGTTCCCCAATATGCACCTTGTCAGTGGTAGCTCATATTTCCACACTAGATGGTATAGATTGCTCTTTCCTCTGACCCATACTGAACCTGTTGCAATTTTTTTTCCCCCTGAAAATAAACCATATGCAGTAATATATCTATTTTGAAAGCATTGGTCTTCTAACAAAAATCAAATTTTTGAGAACACCAGTTTAGCTTTATGGGAACCTTTTGCTTGAGCCTCATAGGATTTCCAGAATCATTCCTGTTCTTATGTTCTGTTTCTTTTAAATCTGGGGCAAATGACATGTCCAGTGACAGAATGAGTTAGTGATTAAATTTTTCAGATATAACTTGAGCTCAGGCTTGAACCTATTATTATTTATTGGCCTTTGAATCTCCTTCTAGGTTAGGCTCATAAAAAATTGTCAGACTATGAAAGAGAGAAAACTGTGAACCACTTCTGAAACTATGTGGGCAGTGATGCTCTGGAAGATAAAGGAGTTTTATATACCAGTTCTTCAATTCTAAAAAAAAAACTAAATTACATCTACAAGCTGACAACATAGTAAGCATTCTTTCATAGGAGGTGTAATTGAGAACACTCAGGCTAGAAGCCTTAAGAATGTTGCTAACAAATGATTTCTGGTAACATTGGAACTACATTAATTATCAATAAATTCCTTTAAAGGGATTTTGGAATGCTAGAATATGGAAAAAGAAGTTGAATTTATGAGTTAAGCACAAGCTTTATTTATATTTCCCAAGCAAAGTGAGAAGTAGGCCTCTCCCTCTCTCTTGGGGTCACAAATGTTTCTCCCCTCCTTGTTTTGTTCCAAAGATTTGAGACAGACTCCCACTGATCAGGTCTGAAATATAAAAAGAGCGAAAAGATTATGCCTCACTGCTACTGTAGTCCAGTTAGGATGCCAGGTAATCAGGTAAAAATATCAGAAATTGGTTGGCAAGGAAATGTTCCAATATCCTTTTCATTATGAGGAAACAAAATTCTCATTTCCTTCAAATGAATTTTCTCATCTTGAACGGTGAAAAGCTTACATAAAAAATTAAATTTGTAAAGCATTCATCAATGAAAAGAGGCTCTTTAGGAAAATCATGAAAAAGTCACACTCTTCAAATGGGAAACAAACCAAGGGATAAAAGAGGACCTTGAGAAAAAGTGCTAACCCTCAGACAAGATGAGATAATGTCATAGATGACTGGACTGATGACAATGAAGAAGAGGTACTTGCTCAATGAACAAGTGCTGATGATGGCATTATTCAATCAATGCTGTCTGACACTGGTCTCACTATTGCGGAAGCAAAAGACCATGGCAAGTATATAAATTATCACCATCACTCCTATGCAAACACATCAAAGATGATTCATCAGCATCAAACATCTCTTTCAAAGTCTCAGAGTAGGTCAAAGATGATTGTTTACTTGATATCTATGCCTGATTATTTCCAGCATCTTGATAGAAATCTCAGTAGGTCATTTGATTTCATGGAGAGGATGAAAAAAGGTAGAGAGAGTGTCTCCCATGTAAAACCTTGTAAGGTTTCAGGGAGTCCTGTGAGGAAAAAATTACAACACCAATACCATTAAATGTCATGGACTTTCATCAAATCAAAGAATGCCTGCACTAGCATTGAATTATTATTCAATTCCTGAGCAAAGTGAAATGCTCTAATCACAGCCTCCAGCTATAAAGAACAACAAATCAATGATTGGAATGAAATCATCTCATCTTTTGCCTTGTGGGAGAGGAGGGGATTATATCTTGTCAGAGACCATTGGGAAGGATGCCCTCACACAGAAATCCAACCATGGATGCAAATGGAGCCTACTCTGATTACCTTTTCCTTCTAGCCTCAACACCTACCATTTTCAAACTCTTTGGTCATATTTGGTTGAGAGATCTATGACATTCATAGCACAACTTCCAACATAAGCTTAGTTTCTGAGACCTGTGGAAAAGCAATCCCATAAAAAAAGCCTTATGAATGATTTTGACTCCACCAATCAACACTGTAGCAAAACTTTCATAAAACCAAGTTAAAGCAATAGAGGTGCCATTAACCTCAATTTCATCACTGAACTCTACATAGTTTTCAAGATTTTTGGCATATCTGCATCCCAAAGGGATAAACAAATATCTCCACTTTCTCAGCATGACACACAAAATAAGAAGTGAAATTATAAAAAATATATATCAATAAAATTACTCAAGCATATGTGAAGAAAAACTATGGGTGGTTTATTCTGGTTTATTCCATTTTTTGTGGTAGATCTATAATCCCTTCCTAGTCTTGACTTTCAATGCCATTTTCCATCATGCCTCACCCTCTGCAACCTTAACCAAACTGAATATCACAATTATTGACCATGAAAATGAATGTTCTGAGAACTCCTGTAACTGGGATTGGTTTAAAGTAGAGCTGTACCAATGTATTGGATATCACCGGTATCGGCTGCCAATGTTGCACTATTGACACCATCAGCCAGTTTGCAAGCTGTCGATGCTGATGTCTAAAGGAGAGGCTAAACTTACAGGTAAAACTTACAAAAAGAAATCAGAGTGAATGTGTGAAACTGAAAAATATCAATCAGATTATGCTTCAGCCTTATTCTAAGAACTGGTGGAGGAAAATAGTGGTGAAGAATGGGAAATCATAGTTTCTCCTTTTACATTTATGCATTTGTCAGAGGAGTATCATTTAAATGCTTGAGTTAACAGCAGCAATGGGTAACAAGCTAACCACTGACAGACAGATAGATAGTACTAAATGTGGCCTCTATTGTTTTTAGGGGGTCACCTGAGAAGTATCACATGGTTTCCAAATTAGCTTATATGAATTAGTATGCATTATCATGTTACTTCTCAATTTTCAGACGACAATCAGCACTGGCACCAGCCGATGGCTGTGAGATGAAAATTGGCCATTGGAACACTGGTCAAAGGGAACCATTGGTACAGTCCTAGTCTAAAGTAATAAAAGAATTGGCATAAATAAAAGTGAAGCACTTGGAATTTTCTCCATGTTCCCTCTTATATTTCCCTGTCAATTACCAAAAAAGCATTTTTGCAACAAGACAAGATTTCAACAAAGAGAATTGGCAAGCAAAAACTTTTATTAAGTCCATCAGTCCACTGAATATCACAATATACCTTCTTTTAGAAAAAAGGAGCTCCCTGTAAACATTTCAATCTCATTAGGAACAGGATGCCAAATAGGAGCATCATATTCTTGCAATCTTGTCATGAAATGCTTCAAGATTCCAGGGCAATGGTTTTGAGAGTTTCCCAAGGATTGTTCAGAAGAATGAGGCAAAATGCACTAGCCCAAAATCATAATTCGATAAGTTTACCTCACAAGCATCACATCTTAAACTTTTAAGTCCCAACATAGACAAATAGCCAATAAATTTATTACGCAATATATTTTACTCTAAAAAAAAAAAGATTTAAAGTCACCCTTGGGCCCTGAAGGTAATTCTTTATTCCCAAAGACAGACATGCATAGACAATACCTTGTTGCAGTATGACAAAAATTCACAACCCTTTTTTGTAGGTTATGTTTTGCAGCTCCTAATGAGAGGAGTCCAGAATGAGAGAGGGATAATGCTTGTTTTCAAGAAGACTCATGATTAGGTTGCACTTAGCCTATAGAGCAAAGGCAGGGAATTTAGCTGCAGATGGATTCTGCAGATCATTCAAGAAATAGATTGTACCTGCCAGACCCTCAAAAAGGGACAAAGGGCGATCAGGGTGGCGACAGCCATGCTTCCCATAATCAGAGCAAAATTTTGCAAACTGAGCAGTCCTATGAAGTTGATTGGGGTCATGGGTCATTTCATACACACTGAGGAAGGTATAAGCATTCCCTGCAACTCCATGACAAATGCCATATCCCTTTGTTAATAGCCCTCTTTCCCATACCACATCCGAGGCCTTCCTTGCAGGCTCCAGGTATTCCTGGGATTTCAAAACTTCATAACTCTTGGTACAGAGAAGTGCCAAACCAGGTGCACCATGACACCACTGAACAAGTCGATCAGAATCACTGGTTCCACTGCTTTGGAGATTCCCAGATGGCATCACATGGTTTCTCAGAAGATATCTGATGGTTGGTTCCACAAGTTCCTTCAGGTCAGCTTCTCGCAAGTATGGAGCAGCTTGAAGTAACATGTACAGAATCCCAGCCATGCCATGAGCAGCACCAAGATAGTACTTGTCATGCCACTCATAGTAAAGAGGAGACTGAGAGTGAACTTCATGTGCACCTCGTTTGCCTGATGCAAGAATGGCCTGCACCACTTCCATGATATGACCTTCTTGAATAATTCCTCCAAGGTGCTTATTCAAGTATAGTAGAGCATAAAGATATCCACTTCGTCCATAGAGAATCTCATCTGGAAGGCCACTCTTTAGATCAATCACAACAGGATGAAAGTTCTCAATTAACTGAACCATCTTCTTCACATCTGTCTCTCTATTGTGCATCTTATAGAGAACAGCAGCTACACAAAACAAACCAACATCACCACAAAGGAAGGATGGTCTCTTGGATAGTCTGCCCTTCTCCAGAGCTATATCTACCATTTTTTCAGCTTCCTTCAGCAAATGCTGATGCCTGGATGATGTAAGTCCAAGATGGAGATATAGGTAAGCGATCCCACCTATTCCAGTGTAAACAGACACATCCTGCAAGGTTGAAGGATCATGCTCTATGGCATCTTGAAGTTTTAAGATCAAATGGTACACTGAATCACCCAGGTGCTTCCTGAATTCCTCCAATAAACCACCAGACAAATCAAGTGTATCACTCAAAAAATGTCCTTCAGACAATGATCCATCAGGAAATGTGTTCTTAAAGTGTCTTTCTGACATGGCAGATTACAGAATGAATGATCCAGCAGCTGAAAATTTAGTCCCAATGTGCACACACATAAACCTGGAATATAGAGCATGACCTACATAGATCAGTATAGTATGATCAATGATAAACTATAAACTGGGAGAAGAATTAGATGATATGGATAGGCTCAGCTTACTGGTTAGTATCCATAGTAGTAGTAGTACCAGTGGCAGATACAGGGAGGGGGGGGGGGGGGGACTGACTCCCCTATGGCCAGGTTAGCATTTTATTTATTTATTCAAAATAGCATCTACATTAAACTTTATTGGAGCCAGTGAAATAGATACTCAAGTTCTTACCCCAGATGAAAAATAAAAAAGGCGAAAGGACAAGGAATGGTGGTAGGCACTTATGTAGGTGGTAGGTAGGAACTTGGGAACCACCCCCCCATGAAAAATTTCTGTATCTGCCCCTGAGTAGCACCCATATTATATCTTAGATCCATCACATTTAACTTTGAACAACTGATTCCAACCTCACCAAAGCTATTTGCTTGGTCCTTCCAGCAAAGACTAAACAAGGCCTAATATATGCCTTAACAAGGCCTAATATAATAAACAAGGCCTAATATAATAAATAACAAGGCCAATTTGATCTGATTAACCTCTTAAGTGGATATGACATATATATATGTCATAGATACTCCCCTAATGGGTTTGACTTTTTTGTTGCACTATCCTTCAAGTTTGAGTTAAATCTAAAACTCCAAACAGGAGTATAAACTCAAAAAAAGAGAAATACATTTCTTACACCAACATTAATTATTGTTCTCAAGAAAAAAAGTTCTGATCCTGATGGCAGACTTCTGCCTGAGAAATTCCCCACTTGAGAGGTTAATTGACCAATGCCTTAGAAGTTTAAATCATGTTCAACCTATGTATAAAACGAACAATGTACATAAAGGTATCAAAAAGATTCTAAGCTAGTGGTCCAATTTGGCCTATTTTGGTTCACAGGTAGGCTTACCACAAATAGGAATGCAACATTAAAGTCTATTATACAAGAATACAAATAAGAAAAAAAGTACTTATGTATCCAAGATTATCTTTATCTGATACATCTCTCTCCAAAGTTGGCTTATGTAACTTACATCAAAAGCTAGAATTGTTGAGGTCCCAAAAATTTTGAAATGAAATGAAATGGTGGGGTTGAATGATATGGCCATACCTATAATGTTCTAATGTTATTTCATTAAGAATGACAGGATGATAGTCTTGTCATGATAGCGTGGATATCAACTGGGAAAAACTCTACACCTAGCAATTTCTCCTTGCAAGTGCCGATAGGCCCATATTCGTCTAGCATAAAAACCAACCATTATCATCGGTCTTCCAGTTGAAGGGAAGATAAGGTTCCCATGCCTCCGATTACCCCATCAGAATGAACACAGTATTCACTCCAAAAAGTTGTGAGAATTCGGATGTAGTATTTTTTAAAAGGTAGGCCCACCTTGTCCTAGTGTGGCATGCAGTGATGCCATGGAGATTACTTACATCCATTTTTCATTGGTTACGTTGTCAGGAAGAAGAATCCTAATTGATGGAGAAAACAGGAAAAAGAGTTTCAATATTTCAATATTTAGCAAAGAAAAGACACATAAAATTCAATTCAGCACACGAATTGATGGACCAGGGTTTGGCAAAGGACCAGATTGGGCGCGGGTGGAAATAACAACACTGCACTGACAAAAACGAGAAGAAAAAGATGACAAGTTCCATGAAGAATAAGGCCCGAATGCTGAAACCTCTTTTAGTTAACGATCCTTTAAGAATATATGGACTCCTATGGGAGAAAAAGAGTTCTTAGCTTAAAGGCCCCATTATTTCCTCTGAACGGAGTTTGTGCATTCGGCCTTAACTCTAAAGAAAACCAAAAATTTTACTAATATACAGGGTGTTCACAAATTCATTTTACAACTTTCAAGTCACATTGCTTCAAAACTAATGACGATAAGAAAGTGAAACCAAAACCAAAATATGCAGGAACACTTCAAGTTTTGTGCCGCCTGAATTCCAAAGTCAAATTCATTCCTCTGGCGGCACATGAGTCAAATCAACAAAAACGGCGCATTTCACAAGAGCTAAGAAAGCACGATGCGTCTTGCGGCTTGAAGAAGCACGTGCTGCTACTCAAGTAAACCTGAACATGCTCGAGAACTTTCTATTATCGCAAAAGGACAGGGCCGGCCCTAGCTATTTCGGCGCCCTGTGCAAAGAGACTCCCGAAGCCCCCCCCCCCCCTCAGCCGCCCAGAATGGAAAAGGGTCAAGCGTTCAAATTGGCATCTAAACTGAAGGCATTTTCACTTTCTGAAGTAAAACTGAGGGTGGCATTCATAATTGCTTCGTATATTTAGTTCCGTTTCGGCGCCCCGGGTTAATTTTTCGCCATGTGCGGGGGCACATGTGGCACATGCCCCCCCCCCCCCCCCCGCCTCTGAGCGGCCCTGCAAATGGATGAAGAAGACATGGGCGATTTAACATCGTCTTTCAGCAAGATGGCGCTCCTGTACATGGTTATCGTGCTGTGAGATGTTTCTCAGATAAAAACTCCCGAGGACGTTAGATCAGTCGTGGAGGTCCATTTGCCTGGCCTTCATGATCGCCAGATATCTCCTCTGCATTTCTTTGTGTGAGGAGGCTTGTACGCATTGTGAGACAATGTGTACCAACCTTCCCTGCCAATTAGCATCACAGAACTAAAAAATCAGATCATAGTGGAAGTGTCCCAGAGGCGACTCGTGATATGCAGCAGTAGTAGTTTTTCGGTGGAGACAGGGGCGGCCGGCCTCCTCTGTCTCCACTGACGAACCACTACTACTACATATCACGAGCCGCCACTGGTTCAGTATCCAATGTACTGTAGAAACAGATATGCTGGAGGAATTCGACATAAAAATCGAATATTGGGATTTGTACCGCATCATGTGCGGAAGTCACATCGAGAACCTCAAGGGTAAAATTTGAAGTGTTTCTGCACATTTTGGTTTTGGTTTCAACTTTCAATCATTATTAGTTACGAAACAAGAATACTTGCAAGTTGTGAAGAGAATTTGTGAACACCCCGTAGAATCAGTAATAACAAAAAAACACAATTGCACAGAGTGGAAAATTATTGGGTTGACCCAACAGAGCAGCCACAGCACTCAATGCACCACCACCTTTGGCATGGCCATCCAACTTTGTGATGATGACAGCACCAACATCTACTTTTTCTTTAAAGGCACGAGCCTGAGACTCGCATGCCTGTCCTATGCTTGTCTGCGATTTTAATGAAGATGACAAAAGAATCGTGTGTCCCTTTGTGCTGTAACTTGAATGCTTGATGAATGTAGCGTCGCGCCCCCTTTCTCTCTGAGAGCAGTACCTAGAAATTGAACCTAGACCAAGGATGCTTTTTTCATGCGATGATTGAAAAAATAGGAAGCGGATTGCAACGTTTCAGGGACTGCGTCACAGCTAGGAAACGGATTATCATTCGCATAATTTATTGAGAACGACGCTCACATGCTTCTGGGTCCACAAATGATCAAATCTGGACTGGACGATAACAATGACGCGCAAATCTCATTTTCAAAGACATCAGAGAGAAATCTCTTCGGAAATTTTGCTCTGCCAGGGAAACCCAGCTCTTCTGCGTCATTGAGTTTCTTCGACTATTTATTTAGGCAGAACGAGTGCACGGACGCTACATTCATCAAGCATTCAAGTTACAGCACAAAGGGACACACGATTCTTTTGTCATCTTCATTAAAATCGCAGGAAATCGCCGACAGGAATGTACACGCTTGAAACGTCTGCCCCTTGAATTGCTTTCATTTAGTCTTGCACTCTGGAGAAAGTGCCAGAAAGATCTGAGGGAATGTGATTTACTTACAGTGAAAAATAACCAGATCAATAAAATATTCAATAGTTTTTGAAATTACACATAGTAATAAATAATTTACAAAAAAAAAACTCCCATCATCTGCTGCCCCCCCCCCCCCTGCGACCCTCTCGCGCCCCCCAGTTTGAGAACCCCTGCGATAGGGTCAACCCAATAATTCGCCCCGTTTAGGCACGTGCCTCCCCCTTTCAAAAAAAGCAGAAAAAGTAAGAAGGGAAAAAAACCGCATGAAATGCATGATAATGGCCAAGAGCTCCCGTGTCCCCCCCCTCTCCCACTTTTTTCATCCATGCTATGCTGATTTCGACCATTCAGGATCAGCAGAAAGTCAAATGAAATCACCAACCATTGCATATGGTTGCCTCCGCATCAGAATCCTTGGACCAAAAACACGAAATGTGAGCAGATTACCATCTATTAGATGTCTCAGAAGATATGGCTTTGCGTTTCAGGGTTGGAAGGAGAGCAATTTCTCTTTGAGAGTGGCCTTGGCCAAAAGCCTTATTGAGGCTTTAGCCACATGCCATGAATTTTGTTCTTTTTGGCTGTGATTGCTTTTTTCATATCTTGGAGAATTTTCATATCATGCTCTTATCCATCATGTTGAGGAGTGTTCTGTTCTGGGTCATTCCATCTCACATCAGTCAGAGGCCGGAGCATGACCCCTCTCTGATATTGACGAAAATGTTTAATTCCAAAAATTTTCCCTTTGATTGCAGTTATGAAAAAAAATTTGAAGAACTGGTAATGAAAACAGTATGTTTCTTTGGTCTTAAAAACAACGATAGGAATTGTGAGGTGGGGTCTGAATAAAAATGTGCGGTGTGCATTAAAAAAAAAAGAGCTATGAAATTGCTCCCATCTTTTACTCAAGTAAATGAGTGTCATTCTGCAATCTTTTCAAGTTTGTTGAAATGCATAGAAATTGGCATCACACAATTGAAAACTTTTTTTTGTGTACAAAATTTGTGACTTTTGCATATTTCGAGCCATCACATCTCCTTAAGAGGAATTTGTTGGGACAAAAATGGGACACACATCATTAGATCTTTTCCCGCTGATTCCAAAAAACATACATGATGATAGGGTTTTATGAACATGACATTTTTCAAGTTTCTGAATATGCCAAAAATTGGCAAATTTGATATAGTTTTATTTCATTCAGTATCGCCTCGAGGAAAAAAGCATATGAAATAACTTCGAACGTCTAACCTTTTTAAAGAACAATTGTGTCTGCTGCGTTCGTTTAGGCCGAAAAGTTTTCGGCCCACATGAAGAGGTGCCCCTTTTTTTAAATTTCACAAAATTTAACGAATTACTGTGCCAAAATGGCTCCATACCCGAAGCCAAAATTTTGCATTCTTACTTTGGATCATGAGGGGTACCACATAAAAAATTTTCGTCAATATCAGAGGGGGTCATGCTCCGGCCTCTGGCTGATATGAGATGGAATGACCCTATTCTGACAACTGCCTCTTCCCTTGGACGACCTGAATCAGGCCGATGAAATCTTCTTCGTTCACATGAATGCCTAGGTCTAAACTGAAAGAAGCTGTCTTATCAATATAGGGTGAAGTTTTTTTGAGCCAGTATAATGGCCTGCTTCGTGTGCTAAGTAATTAGATGTCTAGTGTCTCTAGGATCGGTCCGCATTCACCACAGGGAGGAAGAAACTCATGCAATGTCTGTAACAGCAATTCTGCAGAGGAGGGAATGGGTCAGTGCGTGCAATTGTGGGTGGGGAATACATTTCACAATCGAGTGCCGTCCTACTCATCTTGTCTCATTTTGTGGCGATCCATTTTCTAGCTCTTGCAAGCATGTCGGTGTAAACTGCATGGAATGTGTTTGACTTCATGTAATGGATCGATCTGATAGTTGCAACTAAGCTGTTTCTGAACTTTTCATTGAGAGAGACATAGCAGAACACGTTGGACCTACTAAGGGGTTGTTTTGTTTTACGATGAGATTAAGCGGTACGGTCTTTTAGGGTGCTTTCGAAGATTCAGCAGGACCTCCATTAATGTAAAAACTTTCTGTAAGAGCGAAAGCAATAGCTTGGAATGCGCAGGAAGTTGGCAGAAGGCTCCTGTGACATTGGACTCATGAGTCATGATTCCAACGTGATAAACACGTTGCTTTCCATTCTGCGATTGGTTTGACGGCTTCCGAAACCAGTTATTATTGGCTGGCTTATTATCATAGCTGCGAAGTTTCATGAATAGCAATAGAATTTGTAAAAATCAGATGAGGACTTACGAAGGTTCATGAATAGCACCAGAAACGAACTTCGTAAGAATATCGCATGCTTACGAAGTTTTCATAAATAAGGCCCCAGGAACGCGTTGTGGCCACACTGCAGACTCGGAATGAAGTTTCAGATTTCATTTCACTCATCTAGATTCTCAGTAGGTTGTCGAGGCGTCCTAACATGGGTGTGTGCTGAATGGTGCCACCAAGGTGCCGCACATATGCTCCGTCGTCCAAAGCCAAGATATTAAAATCTCTGTCAGGCTTCTTCTTCTGGGGCAACCATTACTGACAGCCTCGACATGGGTGGAATACGTGTGATAGAGACAGAGACGACAGGAAAATATTTGAAGAAAAAGAACGCCCTTCGGACCTCTTATTCTCTAGAGCAGCGGTTCCCAGACTTCTTTGAATCGCGACCCATTTGCTGATGTTAAAAAAATTTCGCGACCCACCGGAATCCAGAATCGACCTTTTCTGCAGGGCATGTTTTATCCTGAGCGAATGCGGATATAGTGATTTTTTACACTGGAAAATGTTCGCGATCCACCTTGATGCCTCTCGCGACCCACAGTTCGAGAACCGCTGCTCTAGAGTTCCTCTGAATCCCTCCGGCTTTACATTTTTTAACCACTCCAGAATTTCAATCTAGATTTGTATGAAAATGCAGCACCTCTTTCTCCCACTCTAAACATTCTTCCTCGGGTCCTGTGGCCCATATATACCTTACTCAAGAGCAGCGGCGCAGCGTCGAGGGGCACGTGCCCCTCACTTTTCAAAAAAAGAAGCCCCCCCAAAAAATAAGGATAAAACCCAGAAATGCATGATAACAGTATCCCAGAGTTCCCATCCCCCCCCCCCCCCCCACTTTTTCCTTCCACGCTACGCTTTTGTTCAAGAGGATGTTTGCCAAACATATCGACAGGAATCACACAACGATTTTCCTCTTCTTTGTCACTATCTTCTCAAATAAGCAAAACATGTTTGTTGAGTCCATAGTGTACACATCGTCGCTGTCGCTATATCAAGACTCACTTTTATCTCTTTTTTTTTCAGAGACCATTCGAATTCTTCCCAAATGGTGAATGAAAAGCAGAAAGAGCACTGCGCAGGCTTCCTGAAACGGCGAGAATGATCAGTGATCAATCATCGATTGTCTCAGTACTGAAAATTGGCTAAGTTCCACATATTTCCGGCGATACTCAATATACATACTGCAAACTTTTTTAAAAAGCATATTTAACTGATTACAGTAAGTTCTGTGAAATACATCTGTTGGTAATCTCTGTAAAACCCCGAAACCCACGTTCCGGTGCAAGAACCAAGCCAGCCAAGCAAAAAATATCGAGAAGCACAATAATTTGTACTCAGGAAAGAGTGAATCCAGTAAATCCTAGTAATTAAATTATCATACTTCGATCCAAAGCAGAAAAGTAGGGTTGAGCCAAAATGCAGTCCAAACAGAGCGTTCTGCCAGACCATGGTCGACTGATTCAGGTATGACTTAGTGACCACTATTCAAAATCAGTAACCATGACATTGCGATTAAAGCGGACGAGTCAACCTTTCCTTGTCGCAAATATCGCTGTCTTTTCTCTATAGTAGCGAAAGAGAAGTGTATTTTGACATTTTTATCCGCAGCGACAGTTTATACTAACACTCTGCACCCACCTTCGGTTGCGAAGGAATTACATTTCTTACCACTATTCCAAAGCCAGCCTATGCAATCACGATTCCTGAACAGTCATCACTAAAATTCAGTCTACTCTCTCATAATTTAAAACGTGAACTTCCTCCCCCCCCCAATATCCACGTTTTGAAAGACTGAAAAAAAAACTTTTTTAAGTGCTCTGCACGTCACTCCTGAAGGTACCCAATAAATTGAGGCCGGTTTCAATCACGTGGTTGTTGAAGCCCATAGAGACGTTAAACTTTGTCAACTATCATTTGCATTGGTGGGCCCTGAACTTCGGAAAATAGTGAACCTCAAAAAGACCAATTACCTCATTGGAAATTTGGAAACTCGACAGGTTCATTGAAGGTGTTTGGATGGTTGGCTTTTAACCTTGTCGAATAGGATGCTTGAGATCATTTTGGGCAGCTAACTGCCAGATGAGGGGCAATTATGTGGAAAAGAATGGTACAGATCAGCTCAGTTGACATACACGGCTGAGATAAATGGTGTACAGTGTCAGCGTGGAAGAAAGCATATTTTCGAGTCCATTTTCCACTTTTTCCATGATGAAAAGCAAACAGGAAAAATGCGCATCTAGATGGAACCTGACTTGCAATAACTGATTCCAGCTGTTGCAGGCTGCATCTACGAGAGACGCAATTATGGAAAAAATTATTGCATGATTTATTCATAAGAAAGCATTCAGGCACCAGGTGAGGAAAGACACTTAAATATAAGTAGAATCATCATTAAAGAAAGCAATTCACAACGTGATCTCATGGGAAGGAATCAAGTGGGATGGAAGGAGGATAGCTCATTTGTTCAAGAGGAAGAAAAAACTCATCTGAATACACACAGAAAATAAGAAATGCCAGTCCAAATGTCACATTTTCATCACAAAGTTTAGCTGTCTTTTCCAGTCTTTTGCTTTGTGCAAGGCAATGAGTGTGAAGAAAACTAAGCTTGCCAAGAGTTCTGATAATGCCCACAGAAGACTAGATAATAAAAAAACCTTGGTAATAAAAAACTTACAATGCAGTCCATCTGAGATCATCCAAGCAACCACTGGAGCTTCTGCATCTGCAAGGCAGGACAATTTAACTCATTCAAACATACAAAAAATTCCCTCTAACTTTTCTGATATGATAACTTACTTATGATGCTGGCTGACATCCTAACTGGTTGTCCTTCTGTCTTGCAATGGTTCATCCTCTCTATGGAAGTCAAGAAGAAAATACATTCATGACTTTTCCTAAATAATGTGCAAGGAAAAACCCTGTGTGTTCCATTCAACTCACCCTTTCCCATTCTCAACATTCTCTCCCTTTTTTGGCTCCCCTGACCCATGCTTGGGATTCCCCTTGCCAAAGAAATGGCTTGTCAAACCTAGGAACAACAATATCATGAAGATTTTCCTTTTCTTCTCTGCCAATATATTGGGTTGGAAAGAAAGTCTTGCAACACTTTGTAAAACTATTCATAAAAATTTTCAAAGGAATGATGGGCGGGGCTTTGCATTTGTTCTCNGATCCTTCAATTCCTTTGAGATAGGAAAAGGACGGTACCTGTGTTGCTGTCCAGGTCTCTACCCGACCATTCCTGGCCAGATCTCCTTTAATATTCAACGTTCGAGATTGCAACACCGAAAAAGTCAAGCTCCTGAATCTACGTAATATTCACGTTGGGAGGGGTTCATTTGATTCATTCAATTGATCAGTAAATCTGCTTCATTTGATCAGTAAATGGCCTACTATCTTTGTTTACATGCTGGAAATGCAGCTTTTAAAATACACGGGCATTCTTCTAAAGAAAAGTTCATTGCTTTCCTGGAGGAGCACAATGTTCTCTAAATAATTATGGAAAATGCTAAATGATGTATTTTCTTCGCAAAATACCACTTTTCCTCAAAATTGTTATGAGAGTCCTTCATTCCTCCCACATTACTGAAAAGTGTGTAGGAGTTAGTCTAGCAAAGATAGTAGTTCATAATTTAACCCTCTTCCTCATAGAGAGGAAATTTAGATTTTCTTCGAATTTTCTGTTTTTATCACAAAACGTATTTCATGGGTTGATTTTAATTTTTCCCCTCAATCCTGACTAGGTTAGTCCTCAAAACACTAAGGACTTCTGACGATGCAAATGATATAATTTGTCTCAAGCAGCATTCCTGGTCTGTCCATACAATTTTGTGAGTAACTTTTATGAAACCCAACTTCCCCTTTTTATTTTTTTATTTTAAAACTTCTATTCAAGAAGGATGAGGCTAGTGGTCCAGCCAAATGTAATTCATACCTCTTTGAAACTTCCAATAGCAAAAGAGATCCACAGCAATCGCAAGGAGGAAGACAACGCCAACAAGAATCCCAATGATGACACCTGTAGATATTTCGCCTTTCACAACATCCTCTTCTTCCACTAGCTTGGAGTTCCCCTCGTTCTCTCCATGTAAAAGCTCGCCTGAGAGAAATAACAGAAAAATTATTTCATGTTCATGAAGGCATAAGGGTCATTCGATATTGACTCAACCAGGATGGTTGCTCAAAGAGCATGCATTTGCTTTAAATTTGGTACTTGCAATGCACTATTGATAAATAGGTGTGATACAAAATCTAAGCAGATTCTGGTTGACAACTTCCAAGACATTGCCCCTCACAATTCAGGGGTGATAGAGGAATTGGGGGTGGCTCCTTGATTGCTAACTTTTTTCCCCTTTTTTTTCAATTTTGCCCATCAATAGCTCAAATGAAAACCCTAAAAAAAAAATCAAGAAAATAGTTACTTCCTTATATAATATACAATAATGTACAGTGTATAGAAGTGGTAATATACAAAATTACTTAGTAAACTCTGTGAGGTGTGTATTTATTTGGACTTTTACCACTTGCTGTAAAACCATTTTAAATTCAAATTAATTCAATTTCATGACAGTATCCCATATAACACGTTACGTTGGGCCCACATTGGATACAGGTGGGAAACGTTGGCGGAACGTGAATGTTGGGGAACGATGTTGGCCCCATGTGGGCCCAACGTGGGCATACCCACACGTTGAAAAGAACTGCAGAACTCCTGGTGGAGAAATTAAAAAACCCTTGAAGTTCTTCGCCAGGCCACTGGATGGAAGTATATGGTCTTGCTTTTCGTACAGCACGCAAAAGTTACCTTCCCTCTTTCCATGGAATCGTCCTTCGCAGGATTGTTTAGTACCTCGCCATATGTCTCATCTAGTCTCATTATAGGAATCAATAAACGTGGACATTTCATCATTTGTTATCCACTTATTCAAGACAGATTCATGGAGCTCAGGTCATGAACATACTCATATTTACGATGAGAACCCTTGTGCATTGTGAATGGTCACCCAGTGTCCCATGTAATAGAAGTCACATGATGTAACAATGGAAACTTTCTCTCTGGAATCTTATTAAATTTGTGATCATAAGGAGATTCATTAGTATGGGGTCATTGAGGGAAGATAGGTATTACCTTCATGATGCTAACCCAAATATTTTTCAGTGAAATTACACAACTAAGGTTACATGACATCACAGTGAACATTTTTTTGAAGATTGATGGAATTCCACCACTTAATTCAAAAGCTGCAAGTGCAGAATGCACAAATTTAAAATAAATTAATAGCCATCAATTTACTTATACTGGTGAGCACTAAAGGTGTGAGTGTTGCATTATTAATTAAGGTAAACAAACTTGCTAATAAATAGTGAAGTTATTTACAAAATATAAAAAAAGAACTAAAATGCAACTTGGGTTGCAAATATCCCCATGAGGGAGGAGTAGACACAAGTTTATATTTTGTGATTTTGATAGATACCCTTCTGGCCTCCATGTTTAGACCATTTTCAGGTTCAGCCATTGGACCCCAACAAAGAAACTGGACTTATTTTTTCTAAAAAAGGGAAAATTTCCCTATTTTAGGGGACAAGAAATCAGTGTGTCAGATTGTCTCCCTAAAAAATGCTGTACATCCTACAAAAGTTAAAGTTCAATTCCTTCACACAGATCTGTAATTCTCTCAAGATTCATGGCTTTTTTTTTTTCCTTTTAACCCTTTTTGAGACACAGATTTTGAAATCTTTGTTGGAAAGCAGTGAGAATTGTGATTGGGACAAGTAGGGGCTAAATAGATGAGCTATGGTGCATTTTAAAATTCAATTTCCTGGTCTGAATATAGGACGATTACAGTTGGTAGTCACCATGGTATGACATCATACAACACATTCATTTTTAATGATACAGGTTGAAGCAGCTCTTGAGAGATGATATGCAAGACCAACCTTACATTCAGAGCACACCCATTTGGTACAGTGTGGATCATTTTTGGTGCTACAGAGGTCACAACATCTGGATGTACTTTGGAATGGCATGTTCTTTTTTCAACACCACATAGGACTTGAACTTCTTTGCTGTAACCCTAGAACTGGACTTGGAAGGGAAACCAGGTTTTCCTTTGAATGCAAGGCATGTGACAAGGCCATCAACTATTCTGCATTGGAATTGCTTCAACCTTGTTCTTTCATTGGGAAAACTTACCCAGAAGAGAATGAAAGAATTCACTAGTGTTAATTGAAAAAATGCCAAAACAGCCTGTGTCACCACTTGTGGCTGTTTTGGCCAATTCCACAAGAGAACTTCAACATAATTGCTTTGCCAATGCATCTATTACAATGGTTATATTCAGCTATTGCAAGTGGACACAGAACAGACACTACAGGTGTTGAAAAAACTCACTTGATACCCTGAAGTATTGCCAGAATCCAAAGTTTTTTTTTTTTACTAATATGGCTTCTTGTCAAACTTTCCTGCCATCTACCTCACACCTAACTTTGAATTTTGAATACTCAAGTGGCAGATTTTTTGCATGTTATATGGCTCTTGAGTAATATCAAGGTAGAGGTGATTTAAGTGATTACCAATGAGAGCCAATAAAAAAATAAGTAGAGGGTGAATTCCCCATGAAACCACATAATCACAAAGGGTTAATGACTGCTTGCAAGGGTTCTTCCCATAGGATTCACACTGAATATGAAGGCAAAAACTGCATGCTACCTAATTAGACAAAGTTAATACAACTTTAAAGACTGATACTTGTAGGAGTTTGTCATTATTGATAAATAATGACATTTGATTCAATTGTTCTGACACAAATATTGAAGTACAAGATGTGCTGAAATTCTATTTCATGCCTAATGAGCCCATGAGAGTAGCCATTAAAAAGGAAAAAAAAGCCATGAATCTTGAGAGATTGTTAGAGTAATAGGTCTTTGTAAAGGACTTGAACTAGGCTTTCTGATGGCATAGTGTTTTGAGGGAAGCAATCCCACACTGACTTTTTTGCCTCCAAAATAGGAAAAAGTACATCTTCAAGACCTATAAAAATGTCCAGTTTTCATTGTGTGAGATCCAGAGACTGAACCTGAAACTGGTCTTAACATGGAGGCCACAAGGATATCTATAAAGATCACAAATGTTGTCTCTACAGCATAAATGGGAATATTTGGCCCCCAATTGCATTCCTTTGTCAAATTTAGTTAACCCCCAATTTTATTTATAATGGAAGGTAAGGAATTGTCCTATTCAAGGGCTTCCATTTGACCTATTGATGGAAAAAGCTGGAGCAAAGGTAAAGAAGTTACCAATTAGGGGATGACCTCAAATTTCCCCCTTCCCCAAAATTTTGAAACCAGTATCTCCAAAACCAAAGGTAAAAATCTACTTAAATTTATATCACACCTATTTCTCACTTAGAAATTGCATGTACTAAATTTGAAGAAAATTCATGACACTCATGCAACAGATTCATGCTTTTTTTTTAGTTGATATGGAATGTCCCAGAAGTGAGATAGTCCTGAAAAAATTTCAAGCCTTGACCTGCAAAGCTGTCAGATCTGAGTCTTCACTGTGGAGTTCAAGGAATTTTGTTTTTGGAAGTTTCAATATCTTGGATTGATAAGGAATGATTCCAGCCAAAAGGAAAATGCAACATACGATCTGGTTGATATCTTAGAAATGGCACAGGTAGAAGGAATTATTTACAATGCTTGACAACTTCAAAAGATGAGACTGGATGACACATTCATCCTTTTATTGGAAGGTCATTCAAGAATTTAAACAAAATCTTCAAAAGGAACTCAAACTTTCCTTCTCCAGATTGAGTCATTGATGACTATCACAAGTTACAAACAATAGGAATTCGTCTTCATGGCAAATGAGGACTAGCAAAAAAGACTCCTGACACATAAAACAATCAAGATCACGGGGTAGGGAGATGCAAAATAGAAATGTCAATGTGGAGTTAGTCCAATGACATATCTCTACAACATGTGTAGAAAATAAACAATAACCAACAAAAAAAACCAACTCAAATTGTACTTTTCCATGGAATGCAAAAATCACACAGGAGAGCAAGGGAATGGGCAATGGTCAGACAACATAGCTGAGGACAGTATCGAGACAAACATGTTCTGCTGTTTGAAGAGTCTCTCATTTCTAGCTGGTCAGTTTCTACTATTAGTGCCTTTGTCTGAGCACCTTCAGTATTGTGCACAATATGAACCATACTGTCCTCCTAGAGAAGGTATGCACAGAATGGAATAAAAGTTCAAGCTCAGACACTCACTTCTAAGTCATTCAGATAAGGATGTCCACAAGCATGGGAATGTTCCAAAATTGCAGGCTGCTTTTAAATTACTTTTCAAATTCCTATGCCTTTGTTAATTATTTCTAAATGAAAGAGAAAGCTGCCATTAAATCAATCTTTGATTAGAATAGCTGTCATCAACAAAACGAGCCTTAAATGATTCAAAGCTGGACTGTGCAAACACCCTGAAGAAATTGACCAAGATCATCAGAGAACCAATACTGACACATATGGTACAACAAGGTCTGAGGCAGCAAAATCTGCACCAAGAGAGAACACAGGTCGCCATGCGACAAAGAGAGCAAGAGAAGAGAGGATTTCCTATACACATTGGTCATCCCTAGAGGTATCTGGAGTATGCTCTCTAGATAAAGCAGTCACATAACAGCTCACTTTCCCCTGCTTCTTAGCTGACATTGGCACATAATGGGTTATAATTTAGCAAGCACAGGCACAGCACCTGCCATGAAGGAAGCAAGGGAGACAACAAGACAGTAAAGCTTAGGGGGAGATGCAGGTGTTGGAGGGGGAGAAGAGAGATCTCTTTGGCTTTGAGCAGGGAATGCTGTTTTTTTGTGTGTGCTTTTCTACCAACATTAAATCAATGCTCATGTAGTGTGTATCACAGAACAAGGACGAGTACAAGGACAAGGCTCCAAGCAGCAGTAGTAGTAGCAGCTGAGCCAGACGATTGAGCATGAACGCTGACCCCATTTCCACGCCTCCCACTGATGCCCGGTCGATGCCGACTTGTATCTACAAGCATGAGACAAAACAAACTGCATATTCAAAGCAAAGCTCCATCACAGACATAAGGACACCACACTTAAAGCAGGACAAATACAATCCATTATTTTTGTTCAACTATAATATGCAGTTATTTATGGATTCCCTCCTCTTCAAATCACCTTAAGTCAATGACATGCATCACATCTCTAAAAGAGTAAATCCATAATTTTCAAGGAGTAGAATGATATGCTTTCTCAAGAATATTGCTTCTCAAAATAAAATTTAAAAACTTACCATTGCTGAAAAGAAATACTTATCAAACCAACAATCTAACAGGTGTAATACATAGGAAAAGCACCAAGTCACAAGACAAGCATAGCTGCTTAACCCATTATCTGCCAATGACACATCATCAACTGTTCTATGGAAATGTGTGTCATTGGCAGTAAACAGGTTAAAGGACAATTGACAAGTAACACAATACATGCAAACTGCAAAGCAGAAGTGTCATACCATGCTTGTATCTCCTTTAGCATTCAACCTGTTTAACCTCCCCACATGAAGTGACCCAGCAAGTAACTCCAAGACCTCAGCCCACAAAAATGGTAGGTCATGTCCTAAAACTTTTGGATCAAACCCTGTATATGACATTTTAATGAGAGGGCTAAATATTCAACTTTGGGTTTTAATACATGATGCAACCATACAGGGTGGGCCAAAGTTCAACCTTTTCCATACTAATTAAGACGTGCCTGCACAATTTGTCCCAGCCAGTACCATGGTTGAAAAAGTAACCTATTCTTAGTTGTCACCAAGTAACAAGTTGCTTTCAGGGTCACTACTTCCTGTAATACTCTCCTGCAAGAGACATTTTTTGACTTGCCATTATGGACTGAACCCAGAGAGAGACTGATTCAGCCTTATTGCTCTCTACCTACCAATAGTATCAATTGACCTCTAGCGTCCCTGAAACAAAATACACCATACTATGGCCTCCTCTTAACCCCATGCCTCTGATTTAAGGCTTTAAAAAAATTCAAGAAATAAGGGCAAGAACAGCCAACATTCACAAAAAAGTAAACCAAAAACAAAGGGAGACTCCATGTCCAAATCCTGCAAAAATTTGTGCCCTTGAAGATGAATTCTAATCCAAATGGAATGTATTATTCATTTTCCCTGTATTTTTCTTCTCAAGTTCACTTGCAAGTGATTTGGCAATAACTGAATCCTCATTTCTGCCTCAGTTGGATACTGACCAGCATTGCATATACCTAATATTCTGTATCATGGACAAGATAAGATACATGATGACTACAGTTAATTCAAAACTTCTCAACACTGATAATAATGAAGTGCTCCTCTCATAAATGAGGAATTATGAGACTTGCTTGTGGAGAGTTCACATTCAAAGCACCTCAATAAAGCACCTCAATTTGATTTTCCTCTTGCTTTTTTAAGTGCTGCCTCTGGATGGCACAAATATACTATAAGGAGTAAATGCTCAAATCACAGCAGGAACAGAGACTGAACACTGCATGCAACTATGATGCACCCACATAAGCCATGATAGCCCTTTACAAAAAGCATGATGAGAACAATTCTACTTCTAACCATACCAGTAATAAAATTCCAAGTTCGGCTTAATTCAGTTAATTACTAGCATAGGTCTACCTTGACTTTCTCCTAGCCTAGGACTACGGAAAAAAGCAGTCTTGATGCAGAAAATTATTTCCATTTATCCATTAATGTTTTGATCCAGCATTCCTAGTGTACCCATTGCAATGAAATATGCAAAAATCTCAACATCAATTACTTTGGGTACTAGCTTATCAAAGATCAGGTGCATATCATCACATTTCTCATGTGAATATACTACATTATTGTATTTCTTCAATAATGAAATCAGTATGCCTAAATCCAATACAAACATTAAGCATAGATCTCTATGGATTCAGTTGACACCTGACTTATTGCAGGTTTCTTTTCCAAAATAATTTACTTGTCATTCCAGAGTGAACACAAAAAGACTCACCATCAGCTGTCTTAATGATGATGGAACCAGGCTGGGATAGCCCAATTTCATTTCGAGCCCTGACTTCCACCTTGTAGTATGTGTTAGGATCCAATCCTTGCAGTTTGTACATGGGAGGTCCAGGCTGTTCCACAATGCGTGTGTTCATTGTACCATACTGCTCCCACTTCCCACCACTCTTCTTCACCTGCAAAAACCATGCAAGGTACTTTATGAAGTGCTGCCATACCTTTGGCAAAATCTTGTTCATTTACCATTCATACACCAACATGAAGGCCTAATTCAACACAGGGAATGGAGAAATTCTTGCACATAACAATCCAGTTTTTAATACAATCCACAAAATGCCACTATCCCAGCAGAGAATTTGGCATAGGTGATTCATGAGGTTGGTTCATGAGCTGGAGACACTCAGCATTGACAAGCTGGCAATGAGGTGGCATTAATCTCAAACAGCTCTTCTCTATTAGCAATATTTTTTGAAGAGTAATATGAGAAAATGGCATACGAGGCAAAAAGGCATATGAGAAAATGATGCAACAACAAGAAAAACTTCACATTTTACATTTCAAGTCCCACTTTCAAGATGGTTCAACTGACAGATTATATTACACAAATGCTCACCTTGAAGTAAGTGACTTCATACTCATTGATGCGTTTGCCATTGTCAGGTGGCACTTCCCATCGAAGATCATAGTTGTAGGGCTCTGGGATATCAATTTCATTAAGAGGATCTGGAGGAGATCCCAGAATAGGAGGAGGTTGAGGAGGTCCCTCTGCATCCATTGTGTGTTGCCGTTCCTCTCCCCAATCACCAAGGCCCACAGAATTTTGGGCCGCAAAGCGAAACATGTATATCTCACGGGGTTCCAGATTCTCCAATATGTAGGGAACACCTAAGTAGCAAATTAAGTTTGGCTGAGTTAAATGGGTGAAAATATTCTAGTTCAAAACAGGAAAAAGCATATATACCTTTATTCCATACTCTACGTCTTGCCTCGCTCCATGATTCATCTCTCTTCCTGTACTCCACAACATAAGAATCAACTTCCAAGCCATTTGTCTCTCGAGGACCAATTAACTTCCATGTAATAGTTGTTGCTACATGGAAACATAAGATAACAAAAAATGTGAGAACACACTCCTGAAAATATTTAAGAATGAACTGTGTGATAGCTATACACATTTCTGACATTACAGGGAAGAATGAGACATCAATAATCTTGGGAGTTACTTAGCCATATATGATGAACATAGTATGAGCCATGAGCCATTTGAGTTTGAGAAATATGAAAGATGAAAACACACCAGTGGCAGTCTCAATTGCAGCCTGGTCAATGCGGCCAGGTGGAAAGGCTTCCTTCAAGTCCATCTCATAAATGGCTTTGCCAATCAGGTTGCTGGCCTCACATCGATATTTTGCATAGTAGACTGGATCCTCTGGAGTTACCTGGGTTTGTCAGTAATTAGAAATGTTTAATGCCCATATCTTCATTTTCATACTTGAAGACGAAAACAAGAGAAAATTACCTGAAGGGTGCTTTTGGGACCCTCTCCTATCCTCATAAAATGAGCATCATTACGGATCTCACGATCTCCATGGAAGAACCATTGAATGGTTGCATTTGGAATAGACTCAGCAATGCAGGTCAAATTTATGGGCCTTCTCTCCCATGAAAAATAGTCTCGTTCATTTGGTGGCTCATTGAAGACTGGGGCAAATTGAACTTCAATGTGACCATTCATGTAGGCCTGACTGCCAATATTGCTGGCAGTGCATCCATATAGACCATCATCAGCTCGAGTGAGTTTCTCAATGTAGAGTGTCCCAATCATCATTCCATTTTCCTCTCTTTGGTGAAAGCTAATCCGAGGATCATCCTCTTGCTGCCCAACAGTGAATGGCTTCAAAGAGCTGAGTTTACGAATCTCCACTTCTGGCAAGGGTTTCCCAGAGACCTTGCAATTAATCTCAGCACTACCATTCACAGGCCGAGAAATGTTGAGGAGTTCCTCAATTCGAGGCTTGACAACCACTGCCAGCTGGATTGTATGATGGACTCTACCATTCTCAGCACTGTTTTCCGCCACACAGGTCAATGACCCCTCATCCTCACGCTTTAGGGATGCAATCTGCAGTGTCCCATACAGGTCAACTTTGTATCCCTCTCTTTCATTAAGGTTGGCATTGTTTCGATCAAGCCAAGTATAAGTGGGGCTGGGGTTTCCGTCTGCTCTACACTTTATCTCCAGAGACTCTCCTTCTACCCCTTCTGTATCCTTGGGTTCCTCAATGAATGTTGGTGCACGGTAGACCTGTGTGCAAACCAATACAGACCCAAATATTAAGGATAACAACTTCAAAAATGATTCCAAAGCAAGAAAATAAATAGTTATACCTAGTAGCTGAGAAAATACAGGGTGGGCCAAAAAAAAAACAAAGCTATCATTTTTGGTAAGTTGTCAATCTGATTGTGTGTGGTCCATTTTGATGACATTTAGAATCACATAGTGTGACTCAATTAGGGTTTGTCTGCCAAGTTTCAAGTTAAAATTCCAAAAACTATGAGATTGGCATTAATTTACTTTTCATCACCAAAAAAGTAAGTGTTCATTTTTTCTTACAGCTAAAAAATTCTCACAACTGACAAAAACAAACAAGCAAACAAACAGAACAAAAACAGATGCACAAATGCCAAACACAAAAGCACACAATTTGGATTAGGGATGTACATTTTAACTGAAAAGGTGCTTAATATGCCCTCCATTCTGTATTTGCAACTTTTTATGGCGATATTATGAACCTGTATGAGTTGAAACATGATCATATCCAATTTTTGTGGAAACTATATTTTTTTTTAAAATGGCAATTCAATAGCAGGTCTGCTACCTTATGACTATGAGGGAAATTCTGAAACATCCTTGATGTTCCTGATTGGGAAGAACACCAATACCTTTTACATGTATATTTATTACCAACTGACTGGCAGTATATTGAAAACACCAGGTCAGTACCATAGCTGAGTAAAGACCTTTTGCCTTATTTCACCAGTCTTCTTAATGTTTTCATTATTGCATTTAATGTCTAAAAAAAATTGCCATGCATTATTTATCTTATCTCATCTCACATCTGCCTAAGGTTTTACAAATTATATCATTTGCAGTTTTTTCTCTTGCAAATTTTTCCCATTTTGATGCAAATAATCTTACTTTCATACCTTTAAGAAAATGCATGCAAAATTTGAAATATTTTCTCCAAGGCTTTTATTTATCATTCAGTATAGGGTTAAGACTTTATCTACCTGATGGGAAAAATTCCTGTAATTCCTATAAGATACTCAATTCCAATTGAATTGCATTGGAATAATCAAGACAAGTGCCTAAGCTAAATTCAAATCCATCACCTTCACTTAGGTTGTATCCACACATCAGTCAGAAACAATCATTAGACAAAGAGCTATCTGAGGCAATAGATAAGCTTAAGTAGCTTCCCATATACACCCTATAAGGAATCATCATTGGCCACCAATTCTTCATTTGGCAAATTGGTCCTTGAGCCATAATGAAACTAAATCAATTCAGGTTAAGTAAGATTTGCCTACATCACACTCTATACTTCAATTGACCACAGTTCATCGACAGAAAAACTAAGTCTGAAAAACTTATGGTACAGATGCAACTTTATGGAGCTAGCACAATACACATGACTTATTCTAGTCAAAGTCTGAAATGCACTTATGAGTAACTAAACTCATTTACCGAGAAGTTGATTATGCGTTCTTCAAGCTGGCCAGTTTGGGCAACTCTGGCCCGGCAAGTGTAGGCTCCTTCATCACCATTCTCAACTCCAGAGATGATGATACCTTCACCTACTATGCGGAAACGATTCCCACCATACCCTGTTCTTATGGGTTCTCTGTCCCGCTGCCAATCCACCATGGCTACAGGATTTGCTTGAACTATACAAGTGATTCTGGCATCTTTCTGACCCAATGTTGCATACTGGTTCTTTGGTGCATCAATCCATGTGATGGGAACTACAAAAATAAGAATCAACGAATTTGTCAATGAACAAGTAATAAGCTTAAAAGTGAGAATGTGGAAAATCCAATTTTTGGCATTCTTCTAAAATATGTATACTATGCAAGCCAGGAATCATGAGTTCTTTAGATATTACTCATTAGTAAAAAGAAAATAGAGATTTCTGCATTTGCAGTCACAAACAAAATCATATAGCAGATCAAAGCACCAACTGAACAATCCAAAAAGATATGACCTTGATTCCTTAGTCCCTAATGGTCTAATGAATTAGATCTTGGTACTGAATACATAGGAAGTACCCTTGACAATTTCTTTGAGATGGGTAAAAACAACTCTTTCTATGCATGTATATATCAATGAAATAGTAATATTTCAAGTTTATGTACTCATCTCCAAGATCAGATCTTCAATGTCATCTAACTTGGGTGTGAATGAAGATGACACAAATGTTTTGATTTTCAGAGGAATGGATATTTCCAAATAAGTCAGTAAATTTCCTTCTAACATGGAATATTTTCAAAGGAGCAAGGGATCTTACGGAATGTCTGTATCTCAATGGTTTGGCGGAGGGGAACATTCCCAGAGTAGCGGGCTTCACACCTGTATTCCCCCTGATCCTTTTCCTCCAAATGCTCTATGTTTAGTGAAATTCCAGTCTCACCATCTATCATCAACTCAGTGTAAATCCTGCAATAGAATATATGAGCATATGATAGTTTGAGAATATTTTTTATGATATGATTTTATGTGACCTCATTTTCCAGGGATGAGAAAAAAATAATTAATATAGAAGCTTAGAAATGCTCATATTGAGCACAGAACAGTCTTCAATTATAAAATGTATTATGAGTCACTAGAGGTTCATTACCTGGGTAAGCCTCCACTGCTACATGACAGCATGGAAGAATCAAACATTTTATTGAAAATTGTTTGAAGAAAACAAACTGCATTATGTAATGTGACATTACATCACCCCACCATTTCCCCTATCTAAGCTCCCATTGAATGCAATATAGAGGACTTCTCAGCAATTTGGATGAAGGGCTAACATTAATTTAATTCTGCAGGCTGTCCTGATTCATGTACTTGCACAAGGCTGTCTCCCTGCATCTTACATTCACTTGGGAAGTTAATAATTAGCAGTTTGCAGCCCTTAATTTGCCAATGAATCTTCACAGAATCTGTATCTCATTTGTATGAAGTGTGTCACTATCTACTCACCTTCATGAGGTGGAGAGTGGCTAATAACAGATTTTATTGAAATGACACAGCACTTCTAGGCATTCCTGAATAACTGGTGGGCTATACATCCTTAATCAATAGATTCCATCTGTAGATTAAAATTCTTCCATCTTTATTCAGGTCAATTTTGCCTAGCATCCCACAGCCTTACTCACACTCTCACCCTTATAAGTGCTGTTGAGATTCAAAACCCCCAGATCCTTTACTCTCCATTTGCAAACAGATGGACATTACTAACACCACAGTTCTAGACACCTTAACCAATTGAATCTTGTGAATATTGGCTAACCTGTCATCTCCAGTGATCTCCATCCCATGCGGATCAAACCATTTCCATTCTGACACAAGGCCCACATTTTCAACGTTGGGCCTGCACTGGAAGTATAGGGATTGACCCAGTGGCTTATGGTGAACTGTCCCCTCAGGATTGATAACCAATGATGGATCTGCACCATCACATGGGCCTGTGGGGGCAGAAACCTCAAGCTGATTAGCATATGAGTGAGAATCAAATAAAACAATACATCACTACTGAAGTTATACCGTGTAGAACTACAAAGCATTTCATACTGTCAGATCAGGGTATTGAGATCTAGTGATGGAAAATGGTATATCAGGTGATAATTGCAAGAAAATTAATACCAGTTCTTCACTGACATCTAGACACCTTTTTATAGCTGGACGAAGGCTGCATTTGAGCTAGCTTATCCTCTCCATCCATGGGGCAAAGATATAAGAATTTGCTTTTCTGACAAGTTTTGAAAGGACTTTTGGCTCCAAGATTCTATCACTCATTGTGCTTACATTTTCCAATTACAGCTGCATACAAGAAATCTCTTCTTCCTTCTTACTGACTACTTCATAACTAAAGACAAATCTACACTCATCAACTGCCACAGTTTCCAGTAGAGGGTGGTTCCAAGGTTACTGTTAAAATACCAGACTCCATTCAACAACAAATTAGACTATGCACCTTATAGTTGAGTACAAAAACTGTACTTCAACAGTACTATATTGAAGACATTTTCCTGGACTATCAGCATCCAAAAGTTTTTATTTTCTACCATAATTGAAGCAAAATGCAGTAATACACTGCTTTCTTGATGCAGTGCTTTTGGACAGCAGTTATAATTCCTTTTGTTCCTCCTTGATTCTAACTTTCTAACTTGATTTAACTTGGAGTTGCCATTCTTTCAAGAGTAAAAGTAATGGTCACTTTTCCTCATGCTAAATAGCATTTCCTGCAGTTCAAAGCTAAAACAGTTCCATGAGACTATTACTGACATAACATCCATAGCTGCAACCATCACCAATTGAAAATTTATTCAAGCAGCATGGAAGTGAAAAAAATATCCCACCTTGAATGATAAGTCTACTAGGGAGTTTTCCCTAATTTGAGACTTTTCCCAGTTTTGATTTAGAAGAGATCTGGGTCCCAATTTCACAGGTTCCATGTAGTAGTCAGTAATCAAAGGAACATGGGGCATTATGTCATAGACTTCTTCCCCGTCACTCTGATTACAGGAGAGGAAATTGTTGTTTTTTTTTTTTTCCTGGGGTTTGGCAGCGGTCAAGAAAAACTTCAACTGCCCACAATCCTGGGGTTGCCTGTCCATGGGCAGGTCAGGTAGGTGATGCCAGGGTGCATTAATGAGAAAGGGGGTGGGGGGATGGTACTTGCTGAGCAATGCAAAGGAAGGGGGTAGAGATAATGATGATCAATGAGTGACATAAAACCTAACAAATCCCAGCTAAAATTTATTATGGTTCTCCACAGCAGCATTTACTCTGCCTCTTCAGACTGCTTTTAACTTGTCTCCAGGAATCATGGGGGTGACTAGTCTAGTCCATCTGATGGCATTTCCATGCTGAACCTGCCTACTGCTATGATACAGAAGAGGGAAACTTGCACAGAGATAACACTGTATGCCTTGTAAACTGAGAAAGGTGTGGAGATAACTTATCAGGAGTGCTAACATAAACAGCAAGGGGAGGATTTGTTTCACCCAACAATCATATAGGCAGGGAGTTATGAAACCCAGTGTCTGCAATAAGAACAAATGACCTCTCCTTCCCCAAATAGCCCTCCATAGATTTATTGAAAGAGTATATAAGCATGTAACTATGCTCACCCATTTGAAGCAATATTCTGAAAGGCTATAGAATTTATACCTTGGCTATATGATGGATACATATTCTTCACCTGTCCTTCATGTTTGGGCATTCTGACACTTTCAGCCCTGGCAATTTGAATGCACCATAAGCATAGGACATCATGTGATGGCTGCAGGGCTCATAGGGTTGATGGATCTTTGGGTTAGGGTCAATAATAAAATAGTAACAATACTAGCATGAAACATTTTGCTGGTATTACATATGCATATTGTATTAGTGATGATGTTATGGTCCTCATGATCACAGTCCAATGTTTCACCAACATGTCAGAGTTATGAACAAAAAATCCTGGCTTGCTGATAGAGTCATGGAAGCAGAGAACATATTTGATCCAGCCAGTTCCCAGAGGGTTTCCTAGTATAGAACTCTTGCACCCAAGCAGACCTCTGCAACAATCAGAGCTTATTCAACCTGCCAAAGTCCATATTGTACTGAGAAATATGGTATTTTTGTTATGGGCTACAATAACTAAAACAATTTTAAAGAAATTTTTAGTGGAACATTGATAAGGCTCTGAACGATCAGAACATATGGGGTATGTCTTGATAAGTGTTGGGAGAGCTTGGATTAATATTTCTCTCTTATTCTTATAATTTTTCATAATCCTCTTCAGATGATACAATATGGCATTGCCATAATTTCAAGTAATATCCAATAATAACAATATCCAGCAATATTGTGTGACATGCTTGCCAAATCATGAAACCATGTCACTCAGACATCATTTTCTGAATCTCACCAACATGATTGGGGCTAGGTCTATGCAGATGTATGTGTTTTCGTGCCTAAATCAGCTTAACCAAAAAGTAGTCCTTGAGCAGGGTTTGGAAAAATGTTTTTATATATTTATTAAGAAAGTCAGATTTTTCCCCCCAACTTCTTGATTTTTTAAATAATGCATAACTTCTTACTTGGAATTTTCTTCATTATTCATCATTTGGGTGGACACTGGAACATGGCAGACAATATTTATATATAGATTGTGTATTGAAAAAATATTTTTAAAAAACCAGCCCCATCATCTCTCATGCAAATGGCTCCAGTTCCTGCCAGATTCAAGGGCCTTCTGTCTTTACTCTATATGCATGCATGTGCATGTAGGTGAGAGGGATTTAATATTTCTGCAAGTTTACCTGAGAAAAAATGGTTCTCTTGCCTATTGTCTGAAGATGTGCAGAAAGAGGCATTGGATCAAAGAAGTACTTGAAAGATATGCAGTTAAGGAAACTTTTTAAATTAAAATATTTAAATGGATGAAAACAAGAAAACACCAGAGAGTGAATTAAGAAGGCAGGCTATTGTATTCAACAGAACCATACAATATGTACATCCACAAGATGTTTTCTCTCCAACCCTTTTCCTGATTGAGAACTTATATAAAATTCCAAATTACCCTGATGGGTCAATCAGATGAAATTTAAGTTCTCTGATGAGAGATTAAGCCATAATTTAAGCCTGTTGCAGAAAATATGGACAGCGTGGAATACATGTTCCCCAATGGAATACACCTTTCCAAAAAAACAGCAGTGCTGGGCAGGTAAGAAGGATCTCACACCAACAGATCCCACTCCCCAAAGCAGTCTGGCTTTTCTTGGCAGCCATCTCACACATTCCCTATGACCCTGTCTAATTCCCCTTCTTGCTAGAACATGAATTCAACCAGAGGAGGGACATGTGTAGCTCTGGCGTGAATGGGGCTAAGGATTCCTGGAAACTTTCTAACAGGAATAACCAACTGCTCAGGTTTTCCATGGAAAGGTATACCAGAAAAAGTCATCAACAAGCAATGACAAATTGGCTCTTGATCTGATCTCCTTAGACTAGAAAAAGCTTAACACTAGAATGACCAGGGAAGTCATTTTGACTGCTTGCCGATTTTTTTAATACACTTTGCTTGTTTGGCAAAAAGAGTCTCTGCAGTTTTTACTTTTCCTATCTAGTATCAAAATTTTGAACACTTTAATGTTTTGAACATAACAAATAACAACTGGTAAAAGCAAATAAAATGTTACAGAATAATACCATAGTTGTATACTACTTTAAAGCAGTCAAATTGACCACGATGGTAATTCTAGTGTTAATAAATATTGCACCTTCAAACTAATTCAGATGAATTACTTCTCCTGAATGAGGTGTATAAAACATCCTCACTGAAGATTGTTTTGCCAGCTAGCACACCATGACATGTCATTACAAAATCGCCTGATGGCCATCACACCAAGATATGAAGGCAAAGCCATGAATGGGAGAAAGTGGCACAGGATGCTTTTGAATTATTAATACGATTGCATGTAATATATTATGTTACCTACCCTTCTTCCTTTGATTTTTGAGGACACAATTGTACATGATTCGCTTTAGAGCCCATCAAAGAGCTCCAGATACCTAGTATATAAAGATAAAGCTATATATGTAAGCTTCAAGGGATGCTCTCTTCTAAGCTCTGACAGGGTTTCCCAACCTTTTTCATGCACTGCCCCAAAAATCATGTCATACTATTCACAGCCCCAAGCACTGGCTGAAGTTAGACAGGCTCCCCCACTTATGCACTAAAATTGAAAAGAAAAACATGACTTTGCATTTAGTTCCCAGTTTGTGACCCCTGGGTTGGGAAGCTCTGCTCTACAAGCAGAAGTTGAAGTTAATTTGAACTGATTGATTAATGTGCATGTCCAAAACTATTCAAGTATCACAGCCTAAGCTCAACCAAACACTAAAGTTGAGTCTAGACTTCATAGGTCTGGCATGGCAGTCTTTTAATGAGCTCTCTAGCAAAAGACTTACTAAGCTCATGGCAAGAAAAGTTTTCCAAGAAAAGCAAAGATGAGTCTAGCCTTGGCCTATATCCATACCAATAAAAAAAATGGCTCACCTGCCCACTGCCAAAGAATAAGGATTGAAATCACAAGTTCCCGCGAGGCATGTCGCATCATTGGAATGCTCAGAGGCAGATACTCCAACTTGTAAAGAAAATCTATGTAGGGATTGGCTAATTGCCCCAGTTCTTCCTTGAAGACAAACTCCTGCAACCTGACAAAGGAATCTGCAAAATAAAAAAGAGGTAGGTATAGGTCACATTTAGGAAAACATGTAAAGGAAATAATCAAGTTCCCTTTTGGCAACTAAGTACTAAACCAAGTCACTAGTTGGGCAATTTAAACCTTCCCCAACTTTTTCCCTTTTTTCAACCTGCAAAGTAATGGCAATATCTAGGGCACCCAAGGGCTAAGTTGTACTCAGAGTACCATTTGTAGATGAGTGTATTTTCATATAACTACAAACCAACCTCTGTTCATATGCATTGCCACCAAGCAAACATGGTAGAAAATATTATAAACCCTCTTGTCAAATATCCATTGCAATGGACTGTCCCAATCACAATTAAGACTAAACAACTTCAGGTGGTTTATTCTTATAAACCCTGTATGATCAACCCTGATGAGACTCACAACCCAGTTGGGTTTAATTGACAGAATGTCATAAAATTTAATGGATGCTACAAATGTCATTTTAAAATACCCTAGTTGAAAAGCTAGTACCAAACAGGCTGAAGCTAGAGAAGCACAATCAGGGGCTCTGGCAAAGGCATTTCTTAGCCCTTTTTAGTACCCTCTCTTTGACTCTGGCATTAAAAGGATTAATCAAGCATGTTAAACTAACCAAAGCAAGTGATCAAGAACTTCCAGTCCAAGCCAATAGGTATAGGCTTGTTGTCTTTAGATTTGGGTATGTTCAAATGGCACAGGGAGCATGTGATGCATGTGTACTGCTTAGTGAAAGGAGAGTCAATGTCAATATTCTCAAATATTTTCTCTTGACAAGGCTTTGTGGCTGACAGGAGCAGACAGAGTTGGAACAGGGGTACAGATTTTCAATCCTGCAACTCCCCATGTCTGGAGCATGCATTCGCTTTCCAAGAGAGCTCTAGAACGTATAAATTACTAAGACAACTCTGGCAAACTATCCAGAGTATGTAATTCTAAACTATGCTCCTGAGTTTTGGGAAGTACATGAAACAAGGGACAATGTAACACACAAAAGGTACAAAATTAAATGACCTGGTTGATCACTCATCATAAGTACAATCATTCATAACAACAGCTAGGCTACTTTGTGCCTATCCATAAAGTGCTTTTCACTTGACACAAGACACCCAAGCATTAGGAGCATCCCATGCACAAGTGTCTAAATCATGAGAAAAATTGTCTAACTCAAGTGCAAAACACTCTAAATGGTCCCCCCAAGGAACCCCTATGCTGGCAGACTCTGGAGGAACACAAAAGACATATACCAGCAGGTTAGTCATACCCTTACACTAGTTAGGCCAATACATGAAAAGCCTGTTAGATGGGGAGAAGTATTTGGTTTCAAACATTGGCAGCAGCCAGACAGATTTTAAATGTTGTACTCCTGCTAGAACAGTGTAGTTGCATAGGCCTATGTATATGATCCAATCCTGCAGTGTTTTCACTTAATATTCATTCATGGGGAATGCCACTGACAAGCAACAGAGCATCTGAGAAAATGTGAGACTTAAGTGAGTAAAAAAAACTGCATAAGGGCGGGAGACTATGACAATGCTTACTGTCAAGTCAATAGCCAATATCACTAATGAAGACTAAAAAAAGACTATTCTGTCCAGGAAATAACTCAGTCCATCTGCATCTCCCACACTAGCACTGATTCAAGGAAAACATTCATCCAGTTTTGTCCTCAGACTCCAAAAGGATAATAGTACTCTATGCTTCTAATATTGCCTGACCTGCCAATTAAAAACAATGTATTTTGGAAGTGCTTATATCTGCAGAGGCAAAGCACTCCCCATATGGTGATGGCCACAGGAACTCATGAGGCCTGCATCAACAACAGAGGACTTCCAAAAGGAGGGTCACAGTTTCATGGGTAATTCACAGATCACCCAGCATATCCAGGCCTAATAACAGACATTTTTGTCTTGAAAAAATGTTGCAGGAAGAATTGAGCATTGCATAAAATTTCCCTCATGTGAAAACTGCCCCTTTACCATTGTGCCATCCACGTTCTGTTAGCGTGTGTGTACAGGATAGCCTGTTCTATTTTCAGGTTTAAATTTTATTGCCCTGAAGAGTGAAAAGGGAAAGCACTGCCCCAAGATCTGCTTCATCAAATGAGTCCCAAAACCTCCCATATGGATGATGTCACTACCTATTAATGGGTGTGCTCCTATGGAAGGGATTGTATGTATCCATCCAGAAAATGAGTATCTCCTTTCATGTTCATTCAATACACTCAGAGTTACTCAAGTGTGTCTCAAGAACAATACAGTTACATAGGTATAAGTAACTTACCTTCAACACCGATTATAGAGGGTTGCCTACTATTCCTCTAGTTAGACCTGGAGATCTTTTTTCGGGGGACTAACGTAGTTACGCAGGGGTTCCTGCTGCCGGGCGCGGGGAGGGAATGGCAGTACACTTCTCCTCCGATGCCCCTGCTATTTGTTGGACGCGATAGCTAACGCCCAACACTTTCTTTTGCATTTGGATGAGTGTAAGGCCTCAGGACTAAGGAACTACTTGAGCTTGTCTCACCGTATTTTTGTTCCCTCTTCGGGTGAAACCAGGAATGTTGGCAACCCCATATGCATGACATCTCAATGCCAGAGGGCGAGAGCATATTTCCATGAAATACATGACATTAGACTAATGAAGCCCACAATGAACGCACGATGGGAAATACTTATTAGTAAATCACTGCAGTTAGGCCTAGGACTGACGCCTATTGGGGTTGTGCTTGTCAAGTCTCTCTATAATGGAAACTTGCACAAAGGAAACATCAGTGGTGATTAACGTGATTTAGGCCTAACGGCTGTTTGTAGCAAAGAAGAATTAGCTTAGGCATACACCTATGACTAGTGTTCAGTGATTCACAGCTTCAATTCTTGATGGCGCGTACAAAGGGAAGATTACGAATCTGAGAGAGGATGCAAACGGCACCTACAGTCGGGCTCGACACATCTAGTGGTGACGTCATCGCACGTTGCTAAATCCTTCTTCTGCTTTCAAGCTTTGTTTTCTTAGCGCTTCGTGAAAAATTAGAAAATCAATCATACATCTTGCAGTTTTTTATATACTCAAATAATTTTAAAATAAAACTCATAGTTTTGATTGAAAATAATTTTTAAAAAATACCGCCCCCAGCGGAACTAAGATTCAGCAACCGTGTGGGCGTACCGCCAGTAGTAGTCGAACGAGGCGAGAGTAGGCGGGGGTCGAACGTACCCACGGCACCGGATACTGAGCGCGGGGGGAGAGACATGATTCATCCCCTATTCACCATCCAGTCATTCTTTTTTGTGCATAATGGACTTCGTAATCCGATCTGCACACATTTTCTTCAGTGCAGTTGTGCGCCATGACACTTTCTCATTTCCATTGCGCCTTCGTCAACCACTCTTTCGACTTAGAAAGATATATATATATTTTTACATTGCGATGAAGATTTCCTGGAGGATAAAGCAACCTCTTCCGCTATAAATTTATGTTCTATGAATAATTCTACCTCATGCAACGCCTCTTTGGCACGTTTTTCTGCCCAAGTTCAACTACTTTCTCGAGACAGAAGCATCAGAGATGAGTGAATAAGAATAAATCTCTTCCGCCACAGACTGTATCATCATGCTCCGGAAGTCCAGCAGTACTATTAGGTAATCCTGCCACACCCATGAAGAAGGAATTCCAGGACACATCGATAACCCACATCCGGGCATTCTGTCTCATATCTAAAATTATCTTATATCACGATAGCTCTGTGCTCGTCCTTCTCATTCACTCTCCCATTTTGTGAATAATCGTGAGTCACGAGAAGCTGGAGTCTCTTGTCTATGATTAGAAAGCGGGAAAAGCGGCTTATCAAATCCCGGCGCAAGCTCAGTATCGGGCGGGAATAATTGAAAAACTGGGGGCTCATGTAACTTTTTTTTTCCGTTTTTGGTATCACAATGACTTAGAAATGCACTCCAAAGAAAGATCACAAGAAGCACGCAAGCACACATGATCGCACACACCCTTTGAACCGAAACGAGAGGGCATATAAACCACGCACGCACAGAGGCACATACACACGCACTGTTTCTCTCTCTTTCCCTCTCTCATATAACAGTTTCCGTGTAGTGAGATCCGGATCCGACGGTAGAAGACGGGGTTAACGTCCGCACCGACGTCCCCAGAGGCCCTCCATCGCCATAACCTTGAAAAAAAAAAACCATTCCCAAATTAGCATTCCATACATACATTACATCATTGAACTATTTCTTCTTCTCACCCACCCCCCACATTTTTTTTTCTCTATTCCACACAAGTCCTCTTACCATGCATGTGTTCGGGTCGAACAGAGATTGGGAAATAATAAGTCAAGCTTTTCTGAGCTTCTTCTTCACCCAGTTGTCCTTCGAGGTCCCTGCAAGATCCTTCGTCCTCATCTCTCCTCGCTCCTGGAAAAGATCATTTAAAAATTAAACTAATGAAGCAAATTGTGTATAATACAATATGATACACGAACTGATGAGCATGCAAATGCATAAATAAATTCTTTTGCTAAAGAAAATAATTCAAGGTAATGCACAGGTAAAGGCATCACAGTTATATTGAAACAGGAGGTTTTTAAATATGGAATTTGGTTCGAGAAGACTCTCACCAGGGTTTGATTTTAAAATCTCAGAACGCCTTCTTGAATACCGGTGACGCCGTGGGGTGTAACGAGGAACCACAAGGTTTATAATAACAGGGACGGGATAATAATTAAGTCCATCCTTCTCCCTTCATTACAGCCGGGTAATTAATCATCACGTTCCAAGGCTTCTCCCATCGAGAGAATGAAAAATCTCTCTTCCCTTTGGGGCGGAGAGAGATGACGACCGTGCCGAGATGGGTGTCTATTATGATAATTATATTAGGGAACTAGTGGACTTAGCCCATACCTGAGGCAGAGGGGAGTGAGGGGAAGGAAGGAGAAGTCTTGGGAGCAGAGGCCTTAGATGCCCAGAGCCTTTTCGCTGCCAGAGCGATGAGAGTGAAGAGGACGAAGCAGGAGCTCCCTGCTCCAACTCCAGCCAGCACCTGCAACTGCAGTAATCAAAGCAAGTTTTACATACTTGTGAAAAACCTCTTTCCAATACTATATATCTACATTCCAACACTAGTTTAGATCCTCCGCAGAAGCCTCGATTTAGGAAAGGCGAGATTTGGTCAAGGTGCTGAACGCATTGTATGAGACTCAAGATATCCCTGTATTTTCTGCTTCGTCTTGCAGCAAAATTCAAAAGGTGGGAACTGGTACTAAAATATAATATATGAGACACCAGGTTGTGCAGAGACGGGGGAAGTGAGTACGGCCTACGCATAAAATCTCGTCACTACCAGTGCTTAAACCATTCAACTTAAACCATTCAAATGATCTTTTCCATGCAATTCCGACCTTTTTTCGTTCCTCCACAAACAATTCACACCATTCAAGGCCATGAAAACCATCAGAAAACCGACATACTCATGGGTGAAAAAGAGTAGCACAGAGATGTTTAAATTCTCGCGAGGAACCATATCTTTCCGAATACATATATAACGAATGGGGACCATTTCTGCGTGGTGCCGCTGGCGCACTAAGGGTTTAGTTAGTTATTAACTCCAATAAATGTGGGAGTAAATCCAGAATAAACGTGCACACTCGAATTATATATGGTTCAATGCCTATCGAAACCTGTCTTAATTCCCCCCCCCCCCCTCCCATGGTGAGATGAATGATCGTAGATGGCTGGAGTGCGACAACCATACAGGAGACAACGAAGAAATAGAGGCTTCCTTGAATCCACGAAATGTTGCTTAACCCTTTCACTGCTACGGATATACACGTATATGTGCGTCCGCCACTTCATGGATGTCCCATTCTTAGTACATAGTGCAGTGCTAGTAAATGTATTCAATCAGGCGTTCATCTGACATCAATTCAGTGCCTTCACTACTAAGGGGAATTTGCATAATTCAAATTATCATCACTTTTTCTAAAACAGACAAATACCTGAAAGGCATAAGGGGTACAGTCCCAAAAAAACCTCAGCAGCTAAAGGGCAAATAGTTGTCAAGTTGTCCTGGAAATTAAGTCACAATAACTTTGGCATAGAAAAATTAGCACGGCTTTAATTTTAATTAAATAATTAAATAATTTTATTATTTAATTATTAAAATTAAAATGAAAAATTTACTTGTATATATGTTCTTATATTTGCAAAAATCGATGTAAAAGAAACTATTTACTATTTTCAGCCGGCGAAAAAGCAGAACAGGGAACGCTTTCATCACGGAGATACACATCAACCCGGAAATTTGTTCGAGATTATAGAGCGACTGTATAATGTGGCTGTTATCATGAGAAGTCCAAGGTTGTCTGATCTTTACCTGAACGATGAATGTGTCATCCATCCCTGCCTCGTCTGACGTGGCATTCTCCGTATCCACTTCCAACGGCTGGCTCTTCTCGCTCTCTCGCAAGTGCCGAGATATGTGCTCAACCTAGATATTATGCAACATGTTGACACTGGTCCAATAATGAAACAAATTTTTAAATTTCCGTTGATAATAACTAGCAATAGTTGACTTACCTGGACAATGTACTTGGAATGGGGAAGAAGAGTGAGACGAGCAGAGGTGCCTTGGGTGAAAAGATGACCTTTGACCCCAGACAGGTCACTGTGAACTTCCCAAGTAACCAGAAACTCCCCTGGACCCAGACCAGAACAATTCCAGGACACTTCAGCGATCACTGAGCCTTGCTTTTTCGACGTCTTCAGGGAATCCAGCTTCAGGCTCCAGTCTAATTTCTGTTCATAAAAAATACGTCATTCACATATGGAAGCGATGAATTGACAGAATCATACATATATATTTTACGTATAATCCACGCAAGTAATTTCACAGATTCTTAATAGATACTTACCAACTTACTTCCTATCATTCTAAATATCACTTGAAACCACCAGAAACGTTATTATATATGTGAGGAGGCCAGTCATCTCCGAATTGGGATACATCGATGCAAGCAACTGAATCAAGGAAAAACATCGAAGAAAATTTTTTTTAAAGAATGTGTCTCACTTTCTGATGCTTGGTTTTGGGAGGGCGACGGGTGGTGGAAGTGCTTGTGGTACGAAGCGAAGAGAGAGGCCGAGGAGGGTTGAACTTGGGGAAATAAGAGGGAGACAGGACAGACTTGGGAACGTCTTCCTCGTCGACGACCTTGCCGATGTCCAAGACATTGGGAACCCCAGCCCCTCCATCTCCAACGGGGAAGAAGAAGTCCGAGATGGAAGGTCGGGGTGCGACTCCCCCCCGAAAGACGAAAGCAGTTTCGGCTCTTGCCAGGACCCCTTCCTTTCCCACGGCCAGGAGGAGTAGGCTGTTCCGCCCTTCGAAGCCGTCTTCGGATAAACGCATCTTCAGTCCCGTCGTCTGTTGACAGATCAATATGGATGCATTGAGTTTGGAGTCGTCGAGAGGGTGTGTCGTCATCGAAGAACCCGTTAAGAGCGTTAGCGACCCCAGTCGACTGGTCAGCCACAGAAAGCCAAACAAACCGTTAGAGAACGAACTCGGCGAAAGTGGCGTCATGAAGCTACTCGACTGGGATCGCCGAACGCAACCAAAGATACCCCCCTTCGACATTCTAGAGCAACGAGGTCGAGAGTAAGTGAAGCCTACCTGATTGAGCGGTCGATAGTAGTCGTGGATGAACGGCTGGATGAAGGGGGCATAGACGACATGCTGATCGAGGGTGGGGGGTCTACCGTGATTGCGAGCGTCTCTGTTGGAGACTTTGTTACCCATGCGGGTCACTTCTTCCCATGCGACCACCTTTTGCCCCCTTCCATCTTCCCCTTTCACCTTCAGTTTTCCCGGCAACAAGTATTCCCCTGTCACGGGGCTCCCGTCGTAGTGGCGGCTTAGGTCCAGATCCGTATGGTAAATGCACGCCTTCATGCAACCGGGGAACTGATACGTGAGAGAAACAAAGTATTCCTTCGATGACTCTAACCAGAGAAAGTGCCAGTATGGTATAACAATCATGCCAAAGGAAACAAACAAGAGAGGGGTGGGGTGGTATTCACGAGAAGATCCCAAGTCCACATTCTTCAAATTGTTCGCGTGGCTTGTGCCACTTCGGCTGCATTTCCATCAAGAATTTAAATAAAAATTGAAACTCTACTTGGCCGCAATGTCTGTTTCTTCAGCACCGTAAAGACGGACTTCTACCAGGCTTACGCATCAACGCTAAGAGGCAAAAACGTGCAATTCGTATGTGAGACCTGCTCAAAAACGAGGCGAGGGCATGGAATCATACACATTTAGGGTGGATTTTTGAACAGAGCATTATCCGATAATGCTGCTTTATTTACCGGATTTATAATGCATTTTCTCTGAAATAAAGCTGCATTATCGGATAATGCTCTGTTCAAAAATCCACCCTTAGACTGGAAAGGTTACTCTCATTATTGTAATCAATTGACAGGGGACGATATAAATTTGCGAACAAAATATCAATTGAACGAATATGTTGATTTTTAAGAGTGCAATCCCTGACACATTAGACGAAGAGAATCGGTAACACAAGGTCCTGTTGACATGCTGGCACAACCTCTACAATTAATTAGCAGGGAAACCGCAGAAACCACGCGCGTGCATGGGGGTGTGCGGTCCACGCTTATCACGCTACGCTGAACAGAATTATGCCATATTATCTTTCATGCGTGTAATTTCGTAGACTTCACGCCAGTCTATGCCGCATCTCGACGACCAATTAGTTATGGATGTTTTGTTTCTGCTTTATTTTTTAAGGTGAGATTTCAGCTTCAATTCGCTGATTCCTGAATGATTCCCAGCGCCTAGAGTCTCGCGAAAATAAATGTGATCGACACGGGTCGATGAATCCAATGAATTTTTTCTTAACGAGTTCACAAATACAGAGGAACATCCGAGCGAACAGCCGCGGAGAAGCGAATCTAAAAATCACCCTCCCCCCCATTTTCATGCTAATATTCCCGATCGAAACCACGACCCGTGAGGATAATGGGACTCACGCATATGTCCGGAACTCCACACATGGGACCCCAGACGATGAAGTCCGATTCCAACAGCTGACACACTTCCCAGCACTGAAAGAATCATTAATCACCCGTGAGTCATGATACACTAATAAAAGCCCTTGGTTCTTTAGAATACATTCGATGTAATCTGAGAACGATGGATCCAAGGGCGACTCGTTAGCATACTTTGCATCACCATCACGTTCTTCCATTCCGAATTTAAAATGAGTCTTGAAATATATTCCAGGAATGGATCGCGAAATTAAATGTCGCCGAGATCTCGGTTGTGTCTTTATGCACGCGAAACAAATTTATTGGGTATCTTAAATAATTTCGAAATTCAACTCACCATATTACAGTCCTTATTCTGTCGACACTTGCCATCCAAGTCACCGAATTCCCGGTCTCCAAGAAACTGCAAAGAAACGGCATGTTTTGTATAATAAAGAAGAAGCCTCAGATAAAATCGCAGATGACAGGATGCGATAAATCAGGCTCGTTTGTCGAGGGGCGTCATGACACGAACGATGTCAAAGATACCGATGACCTTGTAAAACCGAAAAAAGTCATTCAGGAAACAAGTTGAGGGTGAATTCGGAAGGAAGGAGCCTGGATGGGGTGTCGTGATAACCCGGCCCGTTTCCGGTTCCTCTCCCTTCCGGATGCTCAAACGGAGACACTTATGAGCCCGTCGTCAAGTGCAAGAAATTGAGGTTCCGCCTTTGTTCTCGCTAACGATTCCAGTACGACAGGAAGGGATTTCCCGCGCCCCGAGGATCGTTGACTCTCTCTATATCCATATAGCAATACAGGTCTATATATGCGCATCGTAAAAGAGTATCCCATAGGGTGATGATGGAATGACTTAGGGCCTGACACCTTCTGGGTCTTCCCACGCTCCGAGGGCCATTTCGGCTCCTTTGCATCCCGGGTCCCGCCCGAATAAATCGGACACTTAAGTGCGATCGGCTCCGGCCAAAGGGACAAGATGCGGGGGGAATCGTGCAGGACCGAAAACTGAACGGAAAAGGTCGGAACACGACCTTTTCCGAAGTCATCATCTCTGTTGTGTTGTTCATGCTTCTAGTATAAACAGAAGTGGCTCTCTAATCATCTGGCTCTTGTCATTTAATGTTCCCTCTTGAGTTCTCGTTGAGACTCGAGTAGCTTAAAAACAATGACGCAGTCCTTTTCCTACGTCTCATATCATCAACTCTTCAACATCAAATTTTTCCTCACAGAAGACATTTATTCCCCTTCGATGCTTGCTTCATTTGACAGTCTAGAGCGTGCAGAACGTTTCCTTCATGACTTTGAAATGAGAATTTTTCCTCTCTTCCGGAACCGGCCATATGGGGCGACACGCACCACAACGGTTAAATCTATAATCCTTCTGATTTCATAATGTCCCCTATTATGAGAATCGGTGTAACAGATAGCAGATAACCTCGTTCCATCACGAAATCAGATAAACGAACCCGGTGCATTCCACTCGCAGCAGGATTTCACCACAACTTAAGGATTCAACGGCGAAATTAAAAGACCAGATGCGATCAGAAGCGCCACGAGTACCAGAGGTCTGAAAAGAATTTCAACATTGCCGGAAAATGGGCAGCATTCGAAATTTGCTCATTCGAACATCCAAAATCCGAACTCCGTTCGCAATCTGTGTCAATTGCAAATTCAGCATTTCAACTGTCAAAACCTACTCAGTCTTACTTTCCTGTGAGACCAAGGTAATTTATTCCAAACTTACTGTTAGAAATTGGTGCACTAGTTATACGATATAATATAAATGCTCTCAAAGTTATGGCTACGAATTAAAATACTTACAACCGCTGGCAGGTTGTGATTTTCCGTTTAAACTTAATTCTTTACAGGTCATACGAGTGGCTGTATGTCCTTTTCCTTTTGTCTTGATAGATATAAAGTTTACAGTTGGTCACTAAGGGCTGGCGTCTGCATTTGGAAAAAGAAACTACGCAAATAACTTTTTTATTTTTTTTTATTTTAGCTAGTTTTAGTTTTATTTCATAAAATACAGTACGGTATATACATAAATGTATTTGGTAATGCTATGGAAATAAGGTCTTTCATTGAATGAAAACAGACCGAAAAGAAATGACAAAAAAATGAAACAAGCATCCCCGAAACCTTGATCCTTTACACACATGCCATTCCCGACAGCCTTGCGTTTCGCCAACACGTTCATACGGACGGTTGTGGGGCCCAGAGAATACATGAGCGTACGACCTACTGGCATCCTGTGCAGCAGATGTTAACGCGTTAAAGAGACTTCGATGAGAAGGGAGGAGAATGAATGATTCAATTGCACAATTGCACCGAGTGCGTAGCTCGCACCACAAGGAAGCATTATGCCAGTTTCCGGATCTCAACAATCAAACGGGTTAGCCCAGCTTGAATGAATGAAGCCATCTAGAACTCTCATGAACCAAAACAACCTTCGTTCGGCGCTTGAAGAAAAGGATCTAACCAGCAATGACAATAAATCTACACGGAGTAGGATGAAGTATGAACCTGTGAGAGGCATTGGATCCGACACTGGGCCGTGACAATGCCATCGTGGATGGGATCCAGGATTTTCTCCATGGCAGACAGGGAGTCGAAACCCACGAGTGAAACAAGGAACAGGGACAAGAATCGCATCTTCACCGTCGAAAGGAAGATTCGGCACTGGAGTGATCAGATGAGAAATCCAACTCATCCGGTGGAGGACCTAACACCCCCTCCCCCCCTCCCCCCTCCTCCCCACGTGACCCCGGTCCAACCTCGTTAAATTTCTTAAATTGGCGGAATACCGAATAAGTTTTTGAAGGAGGGACTCTCCCCGCTGATGTCAAGAGCAGAATGCTTAACCATCGCGATTCGTCGCGAAACCGAACGTCTTCGTTCCCGTAGACGCGCTTGGGAACGGGAAGCGAAAATAAGAACCTCGCGAAAATTAGTGGAGGTCTTTCCGTGTCAAAGGACAGGGAAGGGTCGAGACACCGGGAGGCGGTGTCTGGAAGGGTGAAACGGAGGCACCAGACCCCCCGCGGCCCCCGTCCCACCCACTTCCCCTCACATCTCAACTCCTAAAGGCTTGCGCCTATTTCGGGTCACTTTCGCGTTTGACAAATCAGGACGTAATTAAGCCCATCCTGTGATGCGGGGCGCCTGCTCGTCTTTTCTACTCCATCGCCGAAACGACTTCGTTTCATCGTCTTATTTCTGCGGCTCTGTTTGCAGCTCCCCAGAGACCACTTTCGGCGGCTCTTCCACCATCATTCTTCCGCCACTGAAAAAAAAAGGTGCTTCTTCTGTGGAAAACGCAGCATTTTCCGGTCCTCTTTGAGTCCTCCATTCATTCGGAAGGAAGATCCATGAAGAAAATATAATACTCTGCCGGATTTTTGCATTGACTTCTGCATCGGTTCGTCCGATCGTGATTTTTGCATTCATTCTACTGTCCAAAAAGGCATATGAAAGATGAGAAGCTTCAGATCAAAATGTTCCTCTTCTAATTTTAGAAGATCCCGATGATCAGGACTCCCAAAACTAAGTGGGAGTTTCCATTGACTGAGCTTAGTTTCCCGTTAAATCCATGTTAATACATCAATGAAAAGAGAATGGCGACAATTTGATTCCAGGCGAAGCATTAGAGTCACACTCAGCGGTCTCTTCTCGCTTGCCTTCCCCGACTTTTTGCTGATATCGCTTGGTTGCTTCAGGAAGCAAGCCTATTTCTTCTCAGATATTCAAAGGGTTTTTGCTGCTCTGCTTACATCGCAACCGAGAGCGTTATGCATTATCCAGGTCTCGATTCCTCCGAGTGGTACTTATCGTCTACGAACAGGACCGAGCACCCACCCATGCGAGCGACACGATTAACAAATAAGCTCCTCTGATAAACGACCTTGTCTTTCAGCGGTTCATTCGGAAATGCTCGAGTCGTCCCTTTAAGAGCCCTCGGTCGAGACCAAGCACTCCTCGGAGCGTAGCATCCCTCCCCCCCCCCCCCCCCCCCCCCCCCCCCCCCCCCCCCCCCCCCCCCCCCCCCCCCCCCCCCCCCCCCCCCCCCCCCC